CCCTTTCGGCGGTTAAAGGTAGAACCCCGGGTTTTGACAAAATTTCATACCCCATTATAAATCATCTTCCTAAGTCCCTTATTTCTCGCCTTCTCAGACATTATAATAACATATTTAAAACAGGCCACTATCCCCATCTTTGGAAAACTAGTTCAGTCATTCCCATTTTAAAAGTTGGCAAACCCTCGTCTGAAGTTAACAGTTATCGTCCCATATCTGCTCCCTTGCTTGGGTAAACTGTTAGAGAAAATTATTGCTACCAGACTTTCATGGTTTGTAAACTCAAACAAATTCATTCATCACAACCAGGTTGCTTTTAAGAAAGGTCAGGGTACGCTTGATGCCCTCTTACATCTTGACCACGTTATTTCTGATGTCCTTTCCTGTAGGAATCATATATCTTTGCTATCACTGGATTTTTTAAAAGCTTTCGATCGCATTGGAATCCATGTAGTTTTAAGACAACTAGATAAATGGAAGGTTGGGCCGAGAATCTACAATTTTATAAAATCCTTCCTGTCCAATCGTAAGGTTAGTAAAGGTTAGTAAGTTAGTAAGGTTGATAACGGCACACCGCAGGTTTCTCCCCTTTCTGTTATTCTTATCAAAATAGCTTTCGATGAACTCAGTGTCATTTTTTCGGATTTTCCGACGGTTTCCCATCAAATATATGCTGATGACGTATTATTATTTTCTAAAAGCTCTGACTTGCACACAGTAATGTCTACTTTTTCAAATATCCTATCCCGAATTTCCCATTGGTCCCTTTCTTCAGGCGCTTCTATTTCTTCTAGTAAATCTTAATTACTCCATATTTGTAAGAAACGTAGTTGTTCTATTCCTTTGTTAAATTTTAATGGTGTAAGCATTATTTGTGAAGATTCACTTAAGTTTTTAGGTTTAGTATTAGATTCTAAGTATTCTTTCAAAGAACACTGTAAATACGTAAGACAAAAGCTATATGTTAAGTTAAATATTCTTAAATATCTATCTTGTAAACGCTCCTTCATCGGCTCGGACTTACTGATCAATGTCACTAAGGCTCTCATCTCTTCTATTGTCAACTATGGTTTGGAAATATATGGGCTGTATGCTAAAAACCACCTCAAGATGTTGGCTGCACCTTACCACACTGCAGTCCGCCGTTCTATACGTGCATTTCCTACGTCGCCCATCAAAAACATTCTGGCAGAAGCAGGTTTACCTTGCCTTTTCGACAACATGGAAGACAGTATAAGAAAACTTTATCCCAAGCTCATGCTCACATCCTACATCTTTCTGAGAAAGGATTTTCATTCGGCAACATCACGCACTCGAACTCCTAAAATATCTTCAGCTATCTACATGTGTTCTATCTACGCAAAAGAGAATTGCTTGCCGGCCAAATTATCGCTACCAAGATACAATCTTCGTCCTCCTTGGTTGCTAAATAAATCTTCTTTGATAAACGATTTAAGCTATTTCCAAAAGTCCATCACCACATCTGCTGAATACAATGCTTGTTTTTTGGATATATCAGCTCGTTCTAAAGCTACTGGTTGGCAACTGCTATTCACTGATGGCTCTAAGGCAGATTACACTTCATTTGCCGTTGTTAAAGAAAACGGTGAAAATGTATCTTATGGTTTACTTTTTCCTTTTTGTTCTATTTTTACTGCTGAAGCTACTGCCATTCTCCACGCCATGCAATATGCTACAAAAGCTTATGGCAAATTCATCATATGCTCGGACAGTCTATCTTGCTTCCAAGCTGTAAAAAACCTGAATAATCACAACTACATAATTGGGTGCATAAGAAATATCATGGTTATCCACCCTCTCAAAATTAGGCTCATGTGGGTGCCTGGGCATACTGGCATCAGCGGCAACATTTTTGCAGACAAAGCGGCAAAAGATATGAGCTTCACTCCTGTTACGACTTCTAGTTTATTTTGTAAAAATGATATCCATCGATTTATTGTGCAGCAGAGACAAGACAAGATACTTTCTGAGTGGGTGAATTACATGCATCATTATGCTAGAATCAACCCTAGCCACACCAAACCTTGCTACCCATCATCTATTCCGTCCAACTACATCACGCCTTATACGAGACTCCGTATCGGTCACAGTATCATTACGAATGCTCATCTGCTGCAAGGAACACAACCCAATTTATGCCCATTTTGCGACGCCCCAGTCAGTATGCTACACCTATTGGTTTTCTGTCGTGAATTGGGAGTTCATAGACGGCGAAATTTTAACTATACTGATCCCTTACAGTTACTAATGAATCCTTCCCATGGTAACGTCTCTAAGATATATAAATTCCTTAAGGACTCAGATCTTCTCCGTCGTATATAATCAGTCAAGTCCTCACTGGCCAGCCGAAAGCCTATGTAGCTAGTGCTGCGTTCTTTAGTTTGTATAATAATATTGTATTTTATTATATAAGCTTTGTTAAAATAAAAAAATAAATAAATAAACCAATAGTATACACATATATACTTAGGTGTATATTTACATACTTATGTATCTTTCTTTTAAATTTTCGGTTCGTTTTGGATCTTTGAGATTTTTTTTTTCACCTGGATCTCATTTGACATTGCAAACGCGCCAAGCGTCCTATATGTTAGATAAATAGATATATACATAGCCATAGATAGGTAGGAGTGAATACTTGAATTTTGTAAGTTAAGGAAACCCTAGTTCTTAGTAATTAAAGTTGGGAATAAAGTTTAGCTTAGTTAGAAACATTGATAGGTAGAAGTGAATACTTGGATTTTGTAAGTTAAGAAAAGAAGAAAAGAAGAAAGAAGAATTGAATTTGTGAATAAGGTTTAGTTGTAGCTGCATTTATATATATATAAATAATAGACTATGTATAGTATATGTTTGGAGGAAATATATGGATGATGTGATCAGGATTGAAAGAGAAGTTATGGCTTGCTGATTCTTTATATTGGTGTGGGTGTGTTGCACTGGTGCAACAGGGGGGAAATGGGTGTCGACACTGATTGACGTTACTGATTTGGACATGACTTGTCAATAGACGTACGAACTAAGGTCAGGTTTAGGGGACTTTGCCAATTGTAGGAGTCACGGCAAAGTCCAAAACTACAAGATGGGCTGACTCCACCTGACTCGGACGGGCCTCGTCTATCTCCTTTATATTTCTATTCTCCCGGTTTTTCAGTGACTTTTCCCTACAGGCATGATGACAAATTTTGTTTATGTCAGCTGCAAGTAAGGTGGTTGGAGGGTTTGTTAGATAATTAACTATAAAAAATGAAGAACCAATCCAAATGATAAACATTGTGGATATTGTAAAAATATCACTGTATAATTGTGAGTGTGAGTCACTGGGTTTATTGTTTATCATTTCTAAATTATTACAGTTGAGACACTTGAAGTTGTGGTAGATGAAGAGTGCTACAACAGGCTCTCTGAAATTGAAGCAACTTCTCCTTCGCCTGAATTTTTAATACGGGAGGAGTGTTCTTCAAAACCTTCGAAAAAGCGGAGGGAAAAAAAAGAATGTTAATTTCCAACATGAATTTATGGAAGAATTTGCGCGGCCAACCAAACAATCGCTTTGGAAATGAAAGAGCTGAAAGAGGATAGCAAAGAAGTCTTGCAAATTGAAAGGGATCGGAATGCTATTCTCGAAAAATTTCTGGAGGCTTTCAAACAAAATAAGTAAAAAAATTTCGGGCCATTTCCAAATTGCAGGAAGGAAATAAAAGTGCCTTATTGTTTAATTTAAGTGTCCTCCTTAATGTTATTTGGGGATGACCCTAAATAAAATTACTTATTTTATAAATCTTTTTGTTTGGTAAATTTATTATTTAAATATAATTGATAGCTCAACGAAAACCGTGTAAAACAAAGTTCGGAATTTTGTAGAAAATTTAGAAAAAATTAAATTGTCACCAAAATACAAGTTTTTTAACAAAAATTTTAGGAATGCTTGCAATTTATGTACAAGAATTTAAAATGGGCTATAAAGCTTCATTAATAAATTTGGGAAAATTTGATTTTGTCTAAATTTTCTACAAAGTTCTGAACTTGGTTTAATAGTTTTCGTTGAGCTATCAACTATATTTAAATAATAAATTTACCAAACAAAAAGGTTTATAAAATAAGTAATTTTATTTAGGGTCATCCCCAAGTAACATTAAGGCGGACACTTAAATTAAACAGTAAGGCACTTTTATTTCCTTCCCGCAATTTGGAAATGGCCCGAAACTACACCCTTGGCCAAAACTATTAGGGACCCCAACGTAACACTATTTTTTTTTAATTATTCTTTTGTTTATTTAATGTTTAATATTTCTTTTATAAACTCCTGGCTCACTATCTAACAAAAAACACATAAATCCAAATTCTAAATTTTTTGAAAAAATATAACAGTTCTGCAAACTTTAACCAACATTTCCAACTTTTTATTCAAAAGGTTTGGAAAAAATTAGGTATGAAGTTTTGTAGCCCATAAAATTTTAGTATACATAGTAGTATTTAGTAGTTACTAAAAAATCCCGTTGATTTTTTTCGTTGACGGTATTGGGCATTTTCTTCCATATAAAATTATTTTCATCCATATAAAACAAAAAAACAGTAGTTTTGAGTATTGTAGGGCGGTTCTGGTTGCTGTCGTAGATGTTCGATTTCAAAATTGGTTTGGATTTGGATCCAATTGTTGTTGATGCTATCATAACGTTCATTAACAAAATTGTGCAGGATACAGCAACATTTTATTATTGACGTTGCATTTTTGATGTCATTATCAATGCCTTTACCAATTCTTCTAAACCTTTCTTTCAAGTGGCCGAAGGCATTCTCTACTACTCTTCTAGATTTGGAAAGTTGATAATTAAACACCTTTTCGCTGTTTCCGGCTGTTGCGTTGTAAGGATAAGGCTTCATTAGAAATTGCGTAAAGCGAAATGCTGTTTCTCCCAGCACAACGATTGGAACATTTGTGCAAGATATTGGTTTCGCATTCTCGCTGTGAAGAGGGCTTTGGAGAATTAATTTTAATGATGATTTTTAGAAAATTTGAGAATCGCTGCAGAGGCCGGGTGCTCCAACATTTATATACATAAACCTATACCTATGAAAAAGTAAGTTGAGCATTTTCATCGAACGTATAGATATACATATGACACGGTTACCTGTAGTCAACGAGGGCTAGTAAAACCATTGAGTACCAACCCTTATAATTATGATAGTCTACAGCATCAGCGGCTGATGGTCTTATTTCAATGTGGCATCCATCTGAAGTTAATCAAACTAGTTTTTAATTTTTGAACACTAGTTACATTATATGTACAACTTACCGACAGCGCCGAGACATTGAGGAAATCCAATTTTCTCAAATCCCTTAACACACTCTTCAATTTTTTCTTGCGTAAGGAATGTGCTGGGTAAATACTTAGGGGCGAGCTTGTCCCATACCGCAGAACTAAAGTCTATTAAAATATTACATACGCTTCCTTTTGATACTCCAAACAGCCGGCCGATTGTCCTGTATTCAGCTGAGGAACCAAGCGCATATAAAGCAATCGCGACGCGCTTGTCTAAAGGGGTGCATTTCCTAAAAGTTGTATCGGCTTTTGCAATGGACGTCACTTCGTTGCATAAAAAGGCGAAGGATTCGCGGCTCATTCTAAAGCACTCCTTAAAAAATTGGTCGCTGCTGGCAGGAATGTCCAGCTCCCATAACTTGCCGTGTCTCGCCTACAATACACATAAAAGCGGTGATTATTATATTCACTAATAAAAAAATAGCTGCTATAATTGCTTACGTGTATCTACAGACGCTTTCGCGTGTTATTCCTTATTATAAAATATAATAAAGAGCTTCGCATTCGTATTGCTGCCATAATTTTTTTCAATCTCAGTAGCCGCCTTTTTCGGATCTCTTCCAACTGTCTATTACTGGAAGCCAATTGCGCAATCAACTGAACTATTGCATCTTTTTGCCTTCTTTCCATATCGTTAATAATTAATAATAATTTAGCAAACGAAAAACACTTAAATGTTCCCCCAAACTATTGTCCATGAACAAAAAACTTGTCAAAACAATCTTGACAGCTGATTGTCAATTTTGCAGCCAAACTCCTATATGTGAACGGGTAGTTTAGTTGACGCAGATTTATTGTTAATCATTTTATATGTGAACATAATTGGGGTGTTCACAGTTCGTTCCAAATAGTGTCTCAAAATGTAGACGTCTACATTTTAAGACGTTTTCTAACCGTAAAATCTGTGGTGTTGTTGTTTCCCATACAAAATTGGAAAACGACGCCGTCTACATTTTGTCACACTCAAAGGTATGTTTTTTACGCGTCTACATTTTGCAACCTCGCAGCAGGGTTGCTTTATGGCAATACTAATCACATTTTTTTATTTATTGGGCACGTTTTCTGTATTTGCATTTAATTTGAGCGCAATTTCTGATGAAAAGAAACAAATCAAGGAAAAGAAATAACAAATATTACGAATTGGTAATTAAGTTAAATAATTACAATTTTTCAGAAACAAAATCGAAAGGCGACATATAAAAAATGCACGCAAGGAAGAAATGTCTGGCAACACCAGCAAAGTTTTGAGACGATTTTGCGACGACTGCTAGAAAGGGGTGCTCACAGTTTGATGCTAAAGATGTCTCAAAATGTAGACGTCTACATTTTCAGACACAATTTGGAACGAACTGTGAACACCCCAAATATTAGAAATTTTGCGATATGGATCGCGATTCATCAATATTGCATGCTGCACCGTCAATAATTATCGCGATACTTGGATCACGTCAATAAATATTGACCGTGTGAAAGGGCCCAATAATACAAGGTGTTATCGGTTGGCAACTTCTTTAGTCTGTTCCTTTGAACTTCGGACTAAAACCTGTGGAACTGTCAAACTACAATTTTACTCTCTCAAATGTGAGTAAAAGGAGAACAGATGCAGAAGTGCATAGGAACGCAAAAAGCACTATTTCCTGTAAAAACGTCAGTCGGTTTGTTTACATGTCATTTGTACAACACTGATTTAGCTGAAATATCACTAAATAATTATTAAAATCTATACATATTCAAACATTTCGTTGTTTAATTCCATTTTTTACAAATATAAGGTACTTTGCTTTCACCGCTGTTAGTTTTTGCTTGCACATGCAAATCAGCTGATCGTTCGACACTTTTCATGATCTTACAGGAAAAGAAACTCCGGACTAAATCCTGTAACTTCTGACTAGGAACAGTTGCTCAGTTACTCTCTCAAAAGTGTTCCCACTTACAGGTTTTATGTCAATAGGAACGACTTCCTGTAAGTTCTGACTAAATCCTGTAAACCGGACTGCTATTGGATCAGACTACTTGCTTTAATTCCGCCATATTGACTGCCTTAGGTGAAACAGTGTTACTTCTTTAACAATTATTTGCCTAATAATATAGTTGCATTTTTTTATTTTTTCTCAGTATTCACATTTTGTTTTCTCAAGGAGGTCTTTTATCTTATTTTGTTTCAATTCATTACGTATATACTATAAAAAAGCAAATTTTGTTTAGAAGAAATTATGAAATTTTATATTTTTCCCCCAAATGGGGATTCATTTCTTCTCGTTTTCTTCTTATTCTACTGAGCTAAGGCAGTGTCAAATCGAGCTGTCACAACTGATACCACCTTGTATTATTGCATCATGGGCAACCAGCTGATTTCGAAGATGTTTTCGCTCTTCCTCTTATTCTTTCGTCTCGATCGTAACCCAAAATACCAAATTACGATTGTAGCGGAGCGGAATGCGGGAACGTAATCGAAATGCAGAATAGAGCGGCACAATATAATAATATGCATTAATAAATGCAAATGCAAGCGCGCGAGAAAAAATACATGTAGACAGCTGATTGCCAAAGCGCGCAAAAGTCGCGAGTTGCCCATGTTTTGCTTCGCTTTGCTTTCCTCGCATTATATTTAACAAGCCTCATATAAAATCATGTATTGAACTTATCTGTCAAAGCGGAATTATGAAGAAAAGCGAAACAAAACACCCATGATCCTACTACACAAGATCTGACAAGATGAAGCAAAAGAAAACAGTAATTTTCTGGCTGACGTTTGTAATTCTGGAGCCATGTTATTTTCTTTGAGAAGTAAACAAAGAATGTGAGACGAAGCATAAAGAAAAAAAATGCCAGCAGCTTTGTAGCACATGTGAGTGCTAACCAATTTATTATTTTGTACGTGTTTTTTTTTGCAACCAATCACCGCGCACTTCATTTTAATTACATTTGCACAAAAATTTATTGAAAATCGCTTAAAAATCACTGAAATAAACCACCGACAAAATGCACATAAAGAGAGAAGCAAAGCAGAAATAGGAAACTTCAAAATTACGAACGTCATACACTTTTTACCCAATTGTTTTTTTTCTTAATTGAAAATGGCTGCTTCTCGGCCGGTCAGATCTGTTCTAATTGGTTCATACAAAATATAGGGGTATTTTGAGAACATTCTCACGACAGCCGATTCTACGTGCTGGAATGACTCGGGTTTTACCCGACCAAGGGCTGTTGTTTCGGCGATCTAACCCCGTTTAGGTAGGCGAATTATATCAAAAGTTGTTCGTCCATAGTGCTACAGTTGCAACGTATTCTTCTGTTCAGGGCTGGCACCCAGTCAAACCCAGGGTCAGATACCTATTTACACCTGCTGTGTATGCCAGAGACGACTACCCCACAACTCCACCTCAGTCAAGTGCAATGCTTGCGACGGGTGGAGTCCCTCAGAGTCTGCTCAGGACTTCGGACCCACCGGCAGTGGACCACATCATTTCTGGCCCCCTGCTGCTCAAACCGAGCAGCCTTCACGGTTAACCCCAGTCCAACTGAGCAGCTCAACACA